ATGTCAGGTTCTAAACTATGGATAAGATAGAATAGAAATCGGTTTTATATAGTGCTTTTTGGGCACTCAATTACGCTTGAATATAGGTATAAGTGAATCTCAGAAGCAAAGCAAGTCAGAGCCTGGATGGGAGACCGCAGTGTCACAGTGGAACAGCTATAGCTCTAATGCAGACGACTAAAATGTAATTGGATCTGAATGCAAAAGACATATTACTAAAAATCAACTTTTTGAGCTTTGCAACAATGTTATGACATATTTCCCACATCAAAAACATATTTTTAGAGTCAAGTAACTAAGTGTTATTTCTATAGCCCCTTTCACAGACCGGATTCACAAAGCGCTATACAATTGTTGGCATTTGTTCCTCACTCCACACAGAGACGGAGTGAGGGACATCCGCATTTTAAAAACTTTAACTCCTTGTACCCATAATACATCACCTCTGGTTCAATGTTATTCTTTAAATTCACATCGCTGTGTTTGTAGCTGGTATCTTTTTTTATTGAAAAAAAAACAAAACAAAAAACAAATTCAACTCCCCCTGTGGTGGTAGCTTAGGGAGTCACAAGCAGACAGGCATCGCATTGCCCTTCATACTTATTTCACCATATTTGTTTAACATGAGAGGATGTCATTTCTTTTTAAACCATTTTTATGACAAACAAAAACACATTTTTAATACTGTGCTTTCTGTAGATATGCTTTATGTAAATGTGCTGAGTTCCAAGTAGTTTCCTGCATATTTAAAAAAACTGAAACCCCTCCCAACACACCAATATACAGATTACCTTAACAATTTCTCATTCATTTAATATTCATAGTCAGTCAAAACAATTAGGCTAATCGCCGACTGACGTAGAGTGTTATTCCTCTCCTCGTGGATCTGCAAATCATTTACCGGGACCGCACTTCAAACGCTTCCGCAAAACACAACACCTTGTGCATCATTAATATCATTTACTCCTAACTAACCTTACTTACGCATGCATGCACAGTAAAGCACTGCTAACTCTTCGTTCCCCCGGGGGCTTACCGCGCCTTTCAACTCTGTGATATGAGCCGGATTATTAATGCATATTCCTCCTAGTGGAAGATGGCCTCTTTTGCCGCCGAGCTTTGGCGCTCTCTCAAGTTTGCGTAAGCTTGATTGAGTGGTCCATCTTACAGCGGGTGAAGTAGTGGTGTCTGACGGGCTTAGGGACATGCTGGAATTGTGTCAGACACCTCAGGAATAGAACGAGAAGGTTTTCCAAGGGCTATTTAAAAGGTTGGTAAGAGGTTAAGCGAGGTTGAGCCGTAGACAATGCGACTCAGAGATATGTCCACTGAGAGTAAACATAGTAACAATGACAACTATTTCACATTCTCCGTTCACTGAAAGAATCTTATCCCACTTGCGTAACAGTAGCGCTTCGGTTACAGCTTGTGTTACAGCAAGAAGGTCCAGGGTTCGAGTCCACCTCCAGGCCTTTCTGTGTGGAGTTTGCCATGTTCACCCCGTGTCTATGTACAATAGATCCTGATGTAATGAGTGAGTGAATGGATGGTGTTGGTTGTGGGGCTTTCATGTGCACACATTTTATTTGGTTTCTCGCTTCCGTCACCACTGTGTGTGGAGTGAATGGAAAAATATCTGAACTCTGTATATTGTAAAGCGCTTTGGGGGACCTTGATCTGTAAAATTAGCTATTTTTTTTGCTCCTTTAGTGCATTCACTTAGTGCTGTGTTTGATCAATTAGTTTCAGTGTCACAATGTGGCTCATGTTCAACCATTCTGGAAAAGAGCAGGCTTGTCCAGAATAATGTTTGTTTGGCCAATTGTGACGCACTGTTACCTTAAGCCCTATTCGGACGGGATTAGTTTTACATGGGGACCCCTGGTAATTTGTGATTATCACAGAGGACGTCTGAGATCTGACAGGGCATTCGCACGGGATAAGCATGTCTGTCATTTTCACTGACATCTGACATAACGGCCGCACGTGCGCGGGTCTCTCCGCTTCAGGCAGTTCATAACGACTGGCGTCTGACCACAGCAGCCACAGGTATCATGAGGACAAACACATACAGTACATGTGGATTTTACTGCTCTTCAGTTCTCTGGCCTGTACTTTCTGTAATGTTTAAACAATGCTTTTTTTACAGACTACCCGTGAACCCCCCACAAGCGCGAGCCGACAAATAGTAACGTCTGCAGCAACACGTCTGTACTGTAGTAGGACAGAGTGCAGAGTAAACGTACAAACGCAACACATTAATCTGATCATTTTGTGTCAGTGAACACATTAAACTGTCCTCTACACTTCTCCATAGACCTCACAGAGACAGCAGCAACTGCGACTCTGCAGCTGTACACAGCCGCGGTCCGTGATTCCTCTGCTCATTGACAAAAACAACGCAGAAAGTAAAGAGAAAGCAGCAATAGCGATCACAATCACTGACATGCAGATTCGCACGGGATTAGTATTATCAGAGGACGTCTGTGTTTGGACAAATACAGGAGGAGGTAATTTGCGGCGGAAATATTACTTTACAAATTGCAGGCATGACGCATTCGCACGTCCTCTGCGGTTATCACAAACTAACAGGGGTCCCCATGTAAAACTAATCCCGTCCGAATAGGGCTTTATATGAAAAATGTATGAGGAAATTGGACACATTTCCTGGAAACATGGGCTCTGTGACCCGGTGATTCTATTTTCAAGGTGACCCATGCACCATCTTGATGCAGGAAAACCCATGATGTTAATGAATGGAACTTTGAGTGATTTTCTAGTTTCTATAAACTGCCATTTCCCAAAATTGCTTCCTTCTTAGGACCACTGTGTGCTAAGGACCACTGTGTCCTAAGACCACTGTGTCCTAAGACCACTGTGTCCTAAGACCATCCTGTGTGCACCATCCAAGAAAAAAAAATCCTAGGGAAAAGGGATGCATGGGGCGGTTCATGAAGAAGACAGACAGGCTGCAGATGGGTGCAGGACATTTGCAGAGCCTGTTAATAGGGCAGGTGTTTGGCCGGTCAGATGCTCTGAGACAAAGTGGAGAGACCGTTGCAATGGCTGCTCTTCTCTGCTTGTGTACATGAATAAAATCACCATTGTTCTGGCCCACGGCCAGTAATTCACTATTTTGGGGATCACTTTAGTTTCTCCCGTGGTGTCTCCGTGTGTTTTTGTTTCCTCCCTTTACAGAAGACCGCGCTCGTGAGTCCTGGGCTCCTATTGGCCAGTCGTTCCCCACCTGGAGCTGGTTGACTGCGATGCCTGGGTGCTGATTGGGCAGCAGCTGAGGCAGTCCTCCAATCAGCGCGCGCTCACCTGGAGGACACGCCCTTATAGATTGTGAATCATCCGCGGCTCAGGGCAGCTGGAGTCAGTGGACTCCAGTTCGCCATTTATTTTTGTCAGTGTTCTGTCACTTGTGCCGGTACTTTAGTTCAGTGACTTGTGTAGTTTATGTTTAGACACTTTAGTTTAGGTTACACTTTTGGTTTTGTCATTGCTTACTTGTTTAATAGGTTATTGATTTACTCTGTGTGTTATGTAGATATTTAATCCTATTTTGTTACCAGTTTTACCTATTTTGTCATCTGAATAAATTATGATTTTAGTTACCATTCTAACATCCTGGTTATTTTGTTACTTCCTTTCACCTAAGCTGAGCCGGGTCGTAACACTACACAAATGTGTGGGTGTGTGCAATGCTTTAATAACTACCATTCATCACTTTTTCACTGGTTGCCCCAGTGCTTGTTTTGTTGTCTTAGAGTTTGTAAGTGGGAAAATTCTTTGTGGAAATAATTGGAGAGCAAGTTGGTTTTTAGTAAACAACATTGTGCATTTCCCTGTTATATATCAGGCATCTTCACCAAACTGGAACAGTCAAACTTTGAAGTAGAAAAATAAAATCCTAAATCAACTATGCCTGTAATCTTCAAACGCCTCAGAGATGTCCCAACGGCAGCCTTTGCCAAAGGGAAATTCAACAACACTTCAGATTCACTCCATCTTATCCAAGCTTCAAAAAATAGCAACAAAGTCAAGCAAACGACAGAAGGTAAATTTCTAGGAACAAGAGTGCGGCTACAGCCTCAATATTATGGCAACAAAACCCTGCAGCTGCAAAGTGGGCAGAGCTTCCTGGTTTATGACGTCAAATTGACCATTATTAACCACTCATTAGCTGTCCGGTGAGGAATAGCCACATGATTTATATTAAATTATAAAGTAATGTGTTTCTTTGAATAGGATAATGTGCAACTACAGTATAACAGCAGGTGCTGTAAAGACATCGGATTGTAGCCTTGGGCTAATTTTCATCCATTGTCCCACAGTCACACTCACAAACACACTCATTTGGGGTGAATGAGACATGGGTAGAACATGCAAGCCATCTGGAGGTAGAATGAAACACAGATGAAGGCAGATTTTTGATATTTTGATTTTCCTTAACTCCTATGGAGACTTTGAATGGGTGCATTACTCACTGAACCTGAAGCTCTTGCACCGTTGCAACTCCATGGAGAAAGGGAAAAAAAAAAAATTGGACTGCCTCCAGAAGTAATTTTTTACCTGACAATTTGAGTCCAAGGAGCTTTGATTGCTTAGTCATAGCCAAAGGAGTGTTTTAAAATAAAATATTCTCCCTGATTTCCACAAAGTTAAATTCTCCTGCTGGAAGACTAACAAGTGTTATAGGATTTCACAGTTGTGTCACAAGAATAATCATGTCAAACACAATCAATGCCATATTATTTGCCTGATTAAACTTCTCCTATAAGATCGACTGTTATTTCTGCTGTTTGGGTGTCTTAGGTGCCATAGGGCCACCCCATCACCCTCTAGCGTCTGTGTGCAATGATCTATGTCAGTGGCATGGGTTTTCCGACCTTACATATAGTGCATGCAGTTTTGAGTTCTGTTTTTAGTGTGGGTTGCAGTGTTTTCTTTAAAAGACAATGTAGAGAGGAAGCCATGGACCACACCCCCACCACATGCCATTGGTGGTAATCAGCCAGGTTGATGACAAAACGGGAACAGGTGGGGAGAGACGAGAGAAGGAGAGAAAAAGAAAGAAACGGAGACTCAGGGGGAGCGCACGGAAGGAGCTACAGGAGCGAGCGTTTTGGATCGCAGCGCAGGAGAACCGAAGCCAGAGCAGACGCCGGACGGAGACTGGACGGGTTCGAGGCTGCGCAGACACTCACGAGTGGCAAAGGAGCGGCGCGTCGGGCTGGACACCCCCCCCCTTTTCTCCCTCTTCTGGAGCGGCTAAGCGGTGGGCCAAAGCAGCGGGACCAGCGGAGCCAAGGCGGCATACAACGCTGGAAATGAGATAAGTAAAGGGACGTATACGAATCCTCACGCTGTGATCTGAGCACTTTAAATAGTATTGGACAGCGTGTAATCCCCGGTCCTCCCCACAGCTGGACACAGGCCACAGACGCGCAGCGGACTGGGGTCAACAGGAGCAGACGCGGAGTAGAGACTGGAACAGCGGTGCGGGCAAGCCAAGGCGGCATACAACGCTGGAAATGAGATAAGTAAAGGGACGTATACGAATCCTCACGCTGTGATCTGAGCACTTTAAATAGTATTGGACAGCGTGTAATCCCCGGTCCTCCCCACAGCTGGACACAGGCCACAGACGCGCAGCGGACTGGGGTCAACAGGAGCAGAGGCACACTACCGGGAGGACAGCTGGCCCGGGACAGTACAATCCAGGAGACTAAGGCTCTGGGGTTTTAGATTTTTTAGTACAGATTTTTAATCCGTAAGGCCCGGCTTTTTTTAACCGTATTTATTTTCTGTAAATAAATCTTATCCGATCAAGACTGTGTCGTCATTCAGCAGTGGGTTTTATCAAGCTGATCAAAGAACCTCACATTTGTGACATTTTATTTGGCGTTGTCTGACAGGATCAGCCCCACTGTTGAATGATGAATGTACAGCCTAGTACAAGCACGGCTCTTACAGCCCAGTTCACAATGCCCTGGTTCATGGGCGCAGCGTTCATCCCCAAATTCGATGGCGACAAAGCTAAATTTGTTGAATGGAAAGCGCAGGTGGAGGCTATGATTAGGGCCCAGGGTTTAAGCGATGTACAACAAGCTGATTTTGTCCTAGCCGCACTGGAAGGCGAAGCTAAACAAGAAATACAACTGGTAGACCCCAGAGACAAAAACACAGGAAAGAAAATGTTGGACTATTTACAAAAACTTTATTCTAAGCCAGCCACAAAATCACAATTGAGGACAAATTTCTACAATTGTCGACAACGAGCAGATGAGAATGTGAATTCATTCATCCTAAGACTGAGAGACCTGTTCAGCAAATGGAGTAACATTGACGATGTAGCAACTGGCGATAGAGATGAGTTGCTTTTGGAACAATTTACAACTGGGTTAAGAAAAGGGCCAGTGAAACAGGAATTGAACAGATTAATGAGACGGGATCCCATGGTATTTACGGAAGCCTGTAAAGAGGCCCGGGCCCTAGAAAAAGAACAGGATGAAGAAGGCGAGGACATATTGGCTCAGAGGGTTCGGACACACACCCACAATATAACGCCTAACCTTAACCCCAATGATTTAAAAGGACAGTTACATGCAGAGCTTAAAGAGGAGCTAATGGGAGAAATAAAAAAGGAAATTTTGGACCAGCTGAGGGCTTTGTCTACTAACTTGGTGGAAGAAGTAAAGGCCCAGCTCCGCAGCCCAACTTTGCCTCATGTCGAGAATGATACGCCCCCAGGTCAACACGATCGCTGGGACACTCAAAAACACCCAACTCGCCCGCAGGACATTCGCACTCCAGCTCGGGTTCGGCAGCCAGTCCATAGTGCCTACCAGTGGGATGACCAAGGACGGCCGATCTGTCGACACTGCGGGACGCCAGGACATTTTCAACGCAGATGCCCACACAAGTTTCCTCCGAACTCGGGTTTTTAGCTCCCCCTGCAGCTGAGGGCCAAGCAGTGGGGGCAATTTTATCAGAACCAGAGCCCACAACGCAGACCACAGCACTCAATCCCCGAACCTCCAACTGCAAGTCAGCCCTGGTCGGTGAGTGTTTAGACGTTGCTGTGAAACTCGACGGCATAACCATGCCTTTCGTGCTGGATACAGGGTCCCAGGTCACACTTTTAAGTCAAAGCTTGTTTGACAAACATTTGAAAAGGACTGGAGTATAGAGTGCAAAGACTGTGCCGTGGCTAGCACTGCGAGCTGCTAATGGTCTGACAATACCATATGTTGGCTATGCCATGGTTGACTGTGTAGTGGGGAATATTCATGTGGCAGAGAAGGGGGTAATAATTGTGGAGGATGACTGTTTGGGCCCAGATAAGGGGATACTGGGGATGAATGTCATACAATCTGTCTGGTCTGCTCTCACCCAAGGGAACCATCCCGGCCTGTCAGCGTTCAGAACACTTCTGCCACCTACTGAGGGAAAGGTCTGGGACCAGGCTTTCGCAGAGTGCCATCGTGTTGCCACAAGAAGCCCTATTCCCCCCTATGAAGGTACTGCTAAGCTAACTCGACAACCGCCGGTAGTTATCCCACCGCATTCTGAAATGGTCTTGTGGATGCATGTGACGGGAGATTCGGTCGGCCAACCACAGGTCCAGGTGGAACCCCTCCCAGGGGGCAGCTCAGAGTGGTATGTAGGACGCACCTTGGCTAGGCTTAGTAAGGGGCGGGTACCGTGCAGAGTGTGTAACCCTAACCCCTATCCGATAGAGCAGCCATTCCCAAACTCAGTAACACCGAGGCCCCCTTAAAAATCTGACGGGTCTGCGTGGCCCCCCAAAATAATAACCAAGAAGACAACATTAAGAATAGGCTCTTCTGGTTATTTTATTTTGGGGAAATAGCCTCTGCTACAAACATTGTAATACAATAATGATTACAGTGGATTATTCAAGTCAAATAATGAACACAAATATTTTAATATTACAAACAAAACATAATAAATTTAACATTAAATAATTATATTATTTTTTTATTTTTTTTATGACCTCCCGCGGCCCCCCTGCAGTACCCTCGCGGCCCACCAGGGGGCCGCGGACCCCACTTTGGGAGACACTGCGATAGAGGTTCCCCAGCGTCAGGCACTAGCCCAAGTTACTGAGGTCTCCACATCAGACATTAAAGGGGAACAAGAGCTGGTGCTAGATTGCATTGAACCAGACGTGGTGGAAGTGGGGGTTAGGAGAGTGGGGGTAGAAGACGAGGAAGAGCCCCATCCAGTCGTGTCCTTACAGGGAGAGGGCCTGACAGGGGAACAGCAGAAAAAAATGAACAGTCTTTTGGATCGGTGGAGGAGCGTGTTTTCCCAACACGAAGAGGATTTTGGCCGGACAAATGCTGTAAAACACCAAATCCCGACCGGCTCTGCCCCACCTAGCCGGGAGAGGTACAGACCTGTTCCACCTAGCCTCTATTTTGAGTTACAGATTTTGTTAAAGAATATGTTAGACAATGGGATTGTCCGGGAAAGTTCGAGCCCCTGGGCAGCCCCCATTGTGTTGGTGAGAAAGAAGGACGAGAGCTTGAGGTTCTGTGTAGACTACCGCAGATTAAATGCACTGACTCACAAAGATGCCTATCCCCTTCCCCGTATTGAAGAGTCCCTTACCGGATTAAAATTAGCAAAATGGTACTCCACTCTGGATCTGGCCAGCGGCTACTGGCAGGTTGAGATGGACCCTGACGATCGGGAGAAAACTGCCTTCACAACCCCTTTGGGCCTTTCTGAATTTGAGCGAATGCCCTTTGGGTTGTGTAATGCGCCGGCAACCTTCCAAAGGCTAATGCAAAGGTGCCTTGGGGACATGGTGAATGAATCATTGTTAATTTATCTGGATGACATTGTTGTGTTTTCTCCTACGTTTGACAGACACATACAGCACCTGGAGGAAGTTTTTGAACGGCTTCAGGAACACGGCCTAAAGCTCCAGCCCAAGAAGTGTATGTTGTTTCAGAGAAAAGTCACTTACCTCGGCCATGTCATCAGCGAAGAGGGCGTCGCCACCGACCCAGCGAAAACCGCAGCGGTTAAGGAGTGGCCTGTACCTCAAACGGTGAAGCAGGTAAAATCCTTCTTGGGCTTTGCGGGGTATTATAGACGCTTTATCCCAGGGTTCTCAAAGCTAGCGTTGCCCTTGAATGCTCTGACCCGAAACACTGCCAGTGAAAAGAGGACAGCCCCAGTCTGCTGGACCCTAGAGTGCCAGACAGCTTTTGACCAGTTAAAGACTGCACTGTTAAATGCCCCCATACTGGCTTATGCAGATTTCTCCCAGCCATTCAAATTGTACACTGATGCTAGTTTTGAGGGCTTGGGGGCAGTCTTAGCTCAGGTACAGGACGGCAAGGAGCGGGTGATTGCCTATGCAAGCCGCAGCCTGCAGCCAGCTGAGAGGAATGACCAAAATTATAGTTCCTTTAAGCTCGAACTTTTGGCTTTAAAGTGGGCGGTCACCGAAAAGTTTAAAGACTACCTGTATGGTGCAGAATTCACAGTTTTTACAGACAATAACCCTCTGGTACATTTGGAGACTGCTCGGCTGGGGGCAGTAGAACAGCGGTGGGCCGCCCAACTAGCTAATTTCCAGTACACTATAAAATACCGACCGGGGACGCAGAATCGAAATGCTGACGCGTTGTCAAGGTTGCCTCAGCTGGTCATGGCAAGAACGGACAATGTCAGCGTGGAAGACGGGGAGACTTGGCGAGAGCGCCAGGCCAAGGACCCAGAGCTCGTACAGATACGGCAGTGGAAGGAGCAAGGGACCACATGCCCAGAGGTACGTGACCCCTCGTTATACACAAGACGACTCTTGAGGGAGTGGGAAAATCTTACACTTCGGGACGGAGTACTTTGCCGCATGTGTGAAGAGACTGGCTCCGGGCTAACTATTTTCCAGTGTATTGTTCCCAGGCAAGAGGCGAAAGATCTTTGGCAGACCTACCACGAAAAGATGGGCCACCCAAACAACGACCGGACCGTGGCAGCCCTCAGGCAGCGCTGTTACTGGCCAAGAATGACTGAGGATGTCAAGGAATGGACTCTAGAATGCCCTCAGTGCATTTGTAGTAAGTCTGGCCCAGAAAGGAGGGCCCCGCTACAGTCAATCAACACCTCGTACCCATTCGAGGTGGTGGGACTGGACTATCTTTCCCTGGGCCGTCCAGAGGACAGGTATGCCTACATATTGGTTATGACTGACCTGTTTTCAAGATTTGCCATTGCAGTACCGACCAAAGATCAGTCTGCGGAAACCACGGTCAGAGCCCTCCATAACCACTGGATCCAAATGTTCGGCTGTCCAGAACGCATCTTGACGGACCGAGGGGCGGCTTTCGAATCCATGCTCTTTGGTCAACTGTGCGAGTTGTATGGGTGCCAGAAAAGCCGCACAACGGCTTACCACCCCCAAGGAAATGGGGCTTGCGAGCGATTCAATCAGACCCTATTGGGGCTATTGGGGTCGTTGGAAGAGAGCAGCCAGACTCAATGGCACGATAAGTTGCCTGCCCTACTCCAGGCTTATAATAACACGGTCCACAGCTCCACCGGATTCACACCCCACTATTTAGTCTTCGGAAGACATGCCAGGCTACCAGTGGACTGGGCGACTGGGCTACACCCGACCCAAGAGAACCACACCTTGGAAGGGTGGGTTAAGACTCATCGAAGGGCGCTAGACCATGCATATAAAGTAGCTAAGCAGAAAGCCCAACACCGACAGGAACAAGACCAAGCTCGTTACAATCGAAGAGCCCACACAGTGCCTTTTTTGCCAGGGGAAAGGGTGCTGATACGAAACTTTCGTAGACGGGCCAAGGGAAAGCTGGCGCCTAGGTGGAACCCAGTACCCTTTGTAGTGGTGGCTCCATTGGCAGAAAACCACCCAGTCTATATTGTGCGGCCTGAAGGTAAAGAAATGCCCACACGAACAATTCATTGTAATAATCTGCGCCCTTGTCCTATGAATTTGTTACAGCAGGACCCAGACCCACCCCCTGGGCCAGAGGCTGTGGCGGTTAGGCTAACCCCGCCGCCTCCCACCTGGTGGTTACCAGAATTGCCAAGACCAGCCCCCGCACCACCAGCCATCCAGATAGTGGAACCAGAGCCTCCACCTGTGCCTCCAGAACCCATGTTTCCGATAGTACGTCGTTCACAACGTGCTAACATTGGTAGACCGCCCGCCAGGTATTCAGATTGAGCATTGGCCGGGACGACCAATGGTAAAGGGGGGAGGAGTGTCAGTGGCATGGGTTTTCCGACCTTACATATAGTGCATGCAGTTTTGAGTTCTGTTTTTAGTGTGGGTTGCAGTGTTTTCTTTAAAAGACAATGTAGAGAGGAAGCCATGGACCACACCCCCACCACATGCCATTGGTGGTAATCAGCCAGGTTGATGACAAAACGGGAACAGGTGGGGAGAGACAAGAGAAAAGGAGAGAAAAAGAAAGAAACGGAGACTCAGGGGAGCGCACGGAAGGAGCTACAGGAGCGAGCGTTTTGGATCGCAGCGCAGGAGAACCGAAGCCAGAGCAGACGCCGGACGGAGACTGGACGGGTTCGAGGCTGCGCAGACACTCACGAGTGGCAAAGGAGCGGCGCGTCGGGCTGGACACCCCCCCCCCCTTTTCTCCCTCTTCTGGAGCGGCTAAGCGGTGGGCCAAAGCAGCGGGACCAGCGGAGCCAAGGCGGCATACAACGCTGAAAATGAGATAAGTAAAGGGACGTATACGAATCCTCACGCTGTGATCTGAGCACTTTAAATAGTATTGGACAGCGTGTAATCCCCGGTCCTCCCCACAGCTGGACACAGGCCACAGACGCGCAGCGGACTGGGGTCAACAGGAGCAGACGCGGAGTAGAGACTGGAACAGCGGTGCGGGCAAGCCAAGGCGGCATACAACGCTGGAAATGAGATAAGTAAAGGGACGTATACGAATCCTCACACTACGATCTGAGCACTTCAAACAGTGTTGGACAGCGTGTAATCCCCGGTCCTCTCCACAGCTGGACACAGGCCACAGACGCGCAGCGGACTGGGGTCAACAGGAGCAGAGGCACACTACCGGGAGGACAGCTGGCCCGGGACAGTACAATCCAGGAGACTAAGGCTCTGGGGTTTTAGATTTTTTAGTACAGATTTTTAATCCGTAAGGCCCGGCTTTTTTTAACCGTATTTATTTTCTGTAAATAAATCTTATCCGATCAAGACTGTGTCGTCATTCAGCAGTGGGTTTTATCAAGCTGATCAAAGAACCTCACATTTGTGACATCTACCCAGCTAATTGTCCATTAATCTAGCACACATCCATTGATCAGCACACATTATAGTGCGGTCAGGGGAGACCATTGAAACTCTGCAAGCGTGGTATTGCATAATTTTATACAGCAGCTGGATGGCAGGCTTTACAGGAAAGTTTCATTTACTACAGGGACATAATCCTTGTTCAGAGAGATGGGAACTGATACATTAAATTACCCTTGGGTTATTAAAATACATGTCAGTGTGTCATAGATTTAATGTCATGTCATTTTCAGCCGATATCATGTACATATGGTATGGTTAAATGCAGCAATATCTTGTGTGCTAAGAACAAGGAAGGATGTGACAGAAAGGTATAAGGTAACAAAATAGGATAAGAATATTTACAGCAACACAAAGTAATCAATTACCCGAACAAAAGGAAATACAGCTTAAAAACGTATCCAATTGAACAAAACTAATGACGAACCAAAATCACACTAAACTAGACTAGAAAGTGTCAAAAAGGACAAAATGAGTCACTAAACAAAAGACGAGTGATAGAACACAGAGGTCAAGCTAACTGCCCAGAGCCTTGAAAAATGGCCAGTTATATGATTTTGAACGTGTGCGGTTGGCGGACTACCTCGGCTTCTGCCCAATCAGCTCCGAGCAAGAACATTCTGGCCAAACGGACAGGTGCATCTAAATACAGAGAGGGTAACGCCACAGACATCACCATGATGCGAACTCTAGACAAACAGCCTGGAGCCGTAACATTGACCTTGCAGCCCTACAGGATCTGCACCACGGCCCATAATATCCCAACGCACTGGCAATTATTTTGGACGAAAATACATCAGAGGCTAAACGTAAACAGATTGAATGCTTGCAGAGTTGCAGCGCGCAATAATTATGTCCAGGCATCGTGGTCTTCTGGAAATTTGGCCCTTGGAAGTGAAATGAGACAAATTATGCAAAATTGACGCTTATTATAACTATATTACTGTTTTTAGATCCATCCACGCTTATATCAGAAACTTTTGGCTCAAACGTGGGACTCCTCTTCTGTCTGAAAGCTCCTGTCTCAGTCCTGTAATGATATGAATGTCATTGTACCGCTGTGATATCAGAGTTTTCTGTATTTCAAACCAAAGTATAGTTAGTTTTGCAAGTGCAATTAGATTTTTTTCAGACTAATTTAGAATAAAACAAAACAAATTCTACTTCTGCCTTTGGTGGCAGCGTGGAGCAGAGCAGGCCAACAGTATTTACCAATGATACTAGGGAAGATAGTATTTCACATTTTAAAACGTAATGTAATGGCATTTTAAATATCATCTTTGACATAATGTCCAAAAGTAATGTGTGATATTTGTCTTTTAACTTGTAAAAGGATGTTCGGAAGAAAAAAAATCCAACCCAAATTGTTTTCATAGACCAAAGTGAAACAGGGCCGAATAGACCTACCCCTGCACCAATCAACTCACAACCTAAAGTGTCATAATATGACATATCACAAGGATCTTACGTCTATAAACAAGATATTTGGAAAATTCTCCACATACTTAATAATGGTAATTTCTTTATCCATTGTCCTGTGTCCCCTTTTAACAGAGACTACTCTATATTTAATTGAACCCTTCACGGTTAGTTAGTTCTGGACATACTGTATTGTCATTTGTGCTCAATATTGTTGAAATAAATGATGAGTTGAAATATGAGAATTAAAATAAATATGCTAAGACCACATCATAGTATTACTGGCATAGTTCCAAAAAAACATTGTTTTACTCTAAAATGTTTCATTATAGACACATGGACAGCTTGACCAGTATATTGTGCATAGCAGATCTCTCACTCGTCTGGGTTAGGCTTTGAGAAAATACAAGCTACAAAGTGGCACAAAGAGGTGCCGACACTCTTTTTTTTTTTTGTACCCAGTGGAATGTTTACCTGTTTTAATGCAAGGTCTTTCCCTGTAGGAGTTCTATTAACATCTGCCAACAGTAATCATTATAAATAATAAATATCCATAATATGTTTGTTCAGGGATATGTTTGAACAAAATGGTTGTGAAAAAAATACCTTTGAACAAAAGAAAGAACATAGATGTGAGTTTCGAAGATTCTTTACCCCTAAAAAGATAAATAAAAACAGACCCTGAAAGTGGTGGTTTCGAATCCTTCTCCACTGTGTTCTGCTGTTGTGTCCTAGGGCAAGACGCTTAACCCCACTTTACCTGAAGCCCCTACTGAAAGATCAAGGCTGTGCTCACACCAAAAGGAACAGCCGTCCTCCTGTAGACCCACCACCTGCAGGAGGATCAGTGAGGGTCTAGTGCTGTGTGACTTGGGCTGCATCTCTAATTGTCACCCCCTGACCCAGAAATGGATTAAAGAGTTGAAAAAGGATAGATGGATGGAAGGCTCCAGCATGGTTTGGGCTCCCCTTTTCTAGCACTTGGGGCTTCACAGGCAGTGGATGCTGCACTCCTCCCCAGTACCATCCGTGTCTGCACAGAGGTGCATTAAACTGATCCAAGGGTGGTCCTTGCATTGAAGGAAATTCACATTTGAAAGCCTTTTTTGTTTTTGTTTTTTGTTTGTCCGCGTCACAAGTGCTGCTTTCATTTGCCTATGTCTGACCTGCCGCAATCTCATTCTGGCTTGGTGTTGGTCACCAAGTCCCCAGTAACGTGCACATCGCAAGAGTCATATGAGTGGCCCAGTGGCGCCTGGGGGGCAGCAGGGATCATTTGAAATGCGCGCCTGTTATA